GTACCTACCGACCCTCGTACCACGCCGCGACCCACAACGTCCACGAAGCAGCGAAGTACGGATCGGAGACGTGGTTATCATAGCCGACCACGCTCTGCCTCGAAACACGTGGCCACGCGGCATCGTAGCCAATACCTACCCTGGACCTGACGGCGTGATTCGGAACGTGGAGATAACCACAAGAGGAGGAACATTTCGGCGGCCGACATCGAAGCTGATCGTCGTCGAACCTGCACTCTCCACGGAACGATGAGAGAGGACGCGCTGCGCGACGGGCACGGGCTGCCAACCGGAGGAGGCTGCGGAGATCCTTCGCCGGGGGGAGACTGTTGAAGACAGCCACGTGCCGAAAAATGTACAGATCGAACGACCAATCACAGCGCCTACATTAGCGGAATTATCGGGGAGCCCATTGGCTGCGTAGGCGCCGTCCGCACGGTGGGGGCGATTCCCCCACCCGGCGCGCGGGCGTAAAACGCGCTGTGATTGGTCGGCCGCCGCGCGTCATTAGTATCTAAGTTAGATAGTAAGTTTAGAATAAGGGTAGGGCCTAATTTGTACATATTCGTAGTCAAGTCAAGTCAGTCAAGCAGTATAGTTAAGCAGTAATAAGTAGCCAGTAAGAAGAAAATACAATAAATCGTCTATAGAAGAAATCCGTCTTTGTTTTGCACCATCATCAACAGTTATACAGCATCGTCTACAGTTTGGTCCATAGAGCCGGATCAGCACCCTCAATAATGCCTATCTTAATTTTTAATAATCATGTGCTTTATACAGTTTCTATCTTTATTATATATTTTTTATTTATTACTATATGTTTATATTTTTTATATTACGTTGTCTAATACGCAAATATACAATTTGCATTTGGCGGTATTTGGGCATAGCAATTTAATAAATTAAACTACAAATTGATATCTGGCAAACAAAATCTTGATAGTCTAATATCCCACTGCAAAATCACTATGTTCATCGCATAGTTAGTCAAACTCACATTTTTACATACATTTATGAATAAGAGAATACATTGATAACAATCTGCCAGTCAATAAGTGGCCGCAAGTAATTTCAATTAAATTAATGATATAAATTTTCCAAAAAAAAGAATTCGTTCATTTGTTTTTTAAATAAAATCTCATCCACATCATAGCAATATACGTAAAGAATTTAAAAATCGATAGGTGCCGTTGTACAATCGGCCGTAATACATTGCAGCCAGGTGTAAACAAGTAATATTTTGGTGTATTTATACGTTCATGACATATCGACTGTGAACCGGCAATATGTCCTATCTTAAAATTTGAGGTATAAAACTTTTTTATGGCATTTCATACTATTTCATATCTTTTACCGTTTCATAATATAATATCTACTAAATAATTTAAATTTACCGGCAAAATCTAATTAATTCAACCAATACTAACAGCGCTTCCGCTTAAAATGCGAGTAATTTGTACTATCTCGTTAAATTGGTACCGACATGAACACGATCTTCAGCCGCTCTTAATAAAAAAGGGTATAATAGTAATATTTACTAGTGTTCTGTGTTTTATGTTATTTCAACTTATTATTAATGTTATCCAGGATTAAAAATGGTAAGTATTTAATGGGATTTCATTGTAGTTATAAAATAATTAGACGTTAATAATTTGAATAATAAGATAGGACAAAATGAATTAGAGTTTGTATGTACCTAATGTAGGTGTCGGTTTAAAAATTGAAGCAAGATAGTGCTTTTTGTTTTTAGTGTCCATAAATTTTTTATTTTATATCTTTTTATATTGTTTGAAACACAATTATTAATATATATTATTTAATACTGGACTATAAGTTGTCTAGAGGTAGACGTTTAGTGCAAGCGGTACATGATGCTAACGGAAATAATGAAAGAAACGGAAACACATCAGCGAAAGAGGTAAACTAGCACTACTTAATAAGACTTGAATTAATGATGATAAGTATCTATTTCTCATGAAAATTTAATATTATGCAGATAATACTTTTTTGTTCACAGAACATTAACGACTATCAGAAATGTATTCCCGAGGTACAACAAACACTCCCTGTTATAGTGTTGACTGAAGATTCTTGCTTTACGGATTATGTTTCTCTAAATTCGTTTAATATGGAAGAAGAACATCTTCCCTCTACAGATCATATAATTCCACGTTATGTGCCTTCTTCAGAACAAGAAGTTTTACCAATACAACTGGAGTTCGCACACGATACAAACTCCGAAAGCTCAAGTGAACAAATTATTTATTTAGAAAAAACAAACGATTCTCAGGAACCAATCACGCTTACAAATACTCATGATGATGAACGCCCGCTGTCTTCATCTCTTCTCGAAAACGAATCCGATAAGTTTATAGATCCCAATAATCACAACATGAATGAAGGAAGAAAACGGCGAAAGAAAGCCGACCCTAGCCAGTGGAAGAGGAATATTAACAAAAAATTACGTATGGAAGGGAAGGCGTACTTAGGATTCAGAAAAGCCGGGTCTACAGTTATTCAGGATATACCAAGGGACGAACGTAAAATAAAACCAACTTGCATGAGTACTGTTTGTGCTAACTCAAAGAAACGAAATTGCCAATATTTCACCCAAGAACAGAGAGAATCAATATACCAACGATTTTGAGGCCTAACTTGGGGAGAGCGCAAAGCATTTGTTTGTGGATACGTGACTAAGATTGCTAAAAAAACAAACACAACCGATGGTGACTCGAGGCGTAATTTTACGTTAATTTATAATTTGAATAATGGGCAACAAAATTATCAAGTTTGTCGAGATATGTTCCTAAATACTTTAGGAATCGGCTACAGAATGGTCCAATCGTGGGTAAACGATAGCTCTCATGGAATTCCAGCTACAATAAAAATCAAAGATACTTCCGTTAATAATGTGGTGAGGTCACAGGAACATTTTTTAAGTAACTTTTTGGATAGTTTACCAAAAATGCCATCTCATTACAATAGACAAAATTCATCAAAACTGTATCTGGAACCTGTTCTTCAGACTATTAAAGATGTTTATAAACTTTATTTAGTTAAATGTAATGAAACCGGACAACCAAGTTTTAGTCGCAAAAAATTCAGTGAAGTTATGAGCAGCAAAAATATTTCCTTGTTTAACGTCAAAAAAGATAAATGCAATTTATGTGCTAGCTATGAAGCAAGAAATTTAAAGGAAGAGTCTTGGAAAGAACACATAGAGAAGAAAGAAAAAGCTAGAAAGGAAAAACGGGAAGATATATAAAAAGCTAATAGAGGAGAAATAATATTAATAGAAGTAGACTTCCAAGCAGTTAAACTAGCGCCATTTACTCATGCTAATGCTTTCTACTACAAAACAAAACTAGCCTGCCATAACTTTACAATATATGATATCGTAAAAAAACAATCAACTTGTTACTGGTTCTCCGAAGACCAAAACAATCAATTAGTAGCATCGACATTTGTCTCATGTTTGATTCATTATCTGGAAAAAAAATGCATAACTGCAGAAAAAAAACCTATCATAATATTTTCTGATGGGTGCACTGCTCAAAACAGAAATAATGTGATGGCAAATGCTCTGCTAAATTTTAGTATGCTTCACGGAGTTTTGATATATCAAAAATATCTTGAGGTCGGTCATACCCAGATGGAGGTGGATTCTGTTCATGCATGCATCGAGAGAAAATTAAAAAAGAAGGAAATCAAACTCCCCAGTGACTACGTGTCTATTACTAGAGAAGCAAGTGAAAAGCCAACACCATACGAAGCCATAGACCTTACTTACGACTTTTTTCGAGACTATACAAAGCCTTTACGATATAATTCTATTAGACCTGGTCGAATGAAACATGATCCAACAGTAACCGACATAAAAGTGATAAGCTATCATCCTTCGGGAATAATTAAAGTAAAACTAGACTTTTCTGAGGAACTAAAAGATTTACCACAAAGACCAAAACGATTTGATGCTGTACAATCGTATCCACCATTATTGACAGCACGATGTTGTATATCCAAAACTAAGTGGTTACATCTGCAAGAACTAAAGTCTGTCATACCTAAGGATTGCCATTATTTTTATGATAATTTACCCTGCCAAGGCTAATAATAGTAACGATTCTTTAATCTTACCAAAGTTCATGTTGATTTTTGCTATTATTATAATTTAATATGTAATAATACAAATAACTGAAAGTGAAATTTATCCCATCTTGAATATTGATTTTCTTTTTATAACTTCGGACCTTTTGCATCGTTTAAAATATCCTAAGTGGGACTTACAGCTGATTCATAATGTCATAACTCGATTTTCTAATTAAAATGATTATTAAATAAAAAAAATGACTTTAATTTCTAATAGAAAACATATATTAAACCAACCGTTTTTTTATTTTGGATAAATCACTCCAAAACTATTAATAATTACGTTTTTTCTACTTCCTGAAAAGTTGTCAAAATTGAGATAACACAATTTGCCAGTTCACAGTCGATATGCATGTTTTTTATATCAAATTAAAGCTATTTTTTAAAATATGATGTTTTAACGCTGCCTGTGAACAAATGCCCGCAAATTAAAGTTGCTGGCTGTTAAAGACTTGAGGTATCCGAGATAAAGTGAAAGAGAGTTAGCGCGCAATGCTACTTGTTAGACGAGGAGGGCGGGTGTCAGCTGTGCGAGTATTTAAAGTCATTGCGCATGCGTCAATAGCCAGGGTTCTCAACAGTGTATGCTAACCTCTTTTTGGAGCTTGTTATACACAACGTTGTTGATATTATTTATTTACTCATATTTTTATATTGTATATTAATTACTTCATTATAATTTTGGAGTAATAGTGAAGTAGTTTCTATTACTATTTGCGTAGCTGGCTGAGAACCCTATTGACGCATGCGCAATGGCTTTAAATACTCGCACAGCTGACACCTGCATTTAAAGGTATTCATTAAACATCTTCATATGTGGTGATGTTGGTCAATAAATTGTTTTATTTTACCTGCATCGCTCTTGTCCATCCAGGGGCATTTGGTGTACAACCCAAAGTTCTCAGTGAACTGTTTAATTGCTGTAATTCAGCATCAGTATATGTAGGTGGTGTATGTGGTGGAGGATGTACTTTCTTTTTGACAACATGTATCATTTCACCACTCTTTATTCCACAATCTTGCAGAGTTATATCACCTTTTAATATTTTTCCATGATGTATTAGTTCTGTTGATACCACATAAATATTAGTTTACCCAAAAAGGAATATTTTGTATGTACTTTTAACGAATATTAACAATATTGTCAGTTCACATGATATCATAATGTTCAGCCTATATTATCTATATATTTTCGAAAATACTTTCTAGCAAAACTACCTACATACTCTTTTTAATAAGAAATGTATTTTTATAAAGAATTATACTACGAAGTTCGATAAGTTGAACCCTGAAAAATCTGTATTTGAATTAAAATTTACCGAGCATATAATTAATTTGGAAACACTCACCTAATGAAGAAGATGGTACATTAGCCTTTTTTTCAGCCTCCGTTTTGAGAGAATCGACAGTATTATCTAGGCCGAAGTTTTCTAACTTATGTCGCTCTATAGGACCTGGTTTTACTTTGATTCCCAAAAATACGCAAGTTTGCCCTTCCATCTCCACAACTATTAAAAGTTGAATCTAATCTGATAGACAAATTTTTAGATTTCGTATATTTACGAAATATAGCAAAAAATTAAAAATAGCACAATTAACAAAATTCACGCCAAAAACGTAAACACGAATGAAAGAAACAATTGCGTTCTCATTCTGTTAGGAAATGCCAAATAAAAATCACTACTAGTGTTGTGCTTTAGCGATCGTCTATCGTAAGTTACGAAATCCTGTTATGAATTTTAATTAGGAAGTATTAAACAAGTATTACAATAATCAAACAAAAAAGTATCATTTCAATTGAATGTCTAATTTAATAGAAATACGTAGTCAATATATATGAATATTGCGCCATATTCCAATAAAATTACATGTAAATAGTTTATAAAAATTGTTTATATCTACAAAGTAACTAAGTAAGTAAGAAACGATATAGTGTAACCTAAGTTGAAAGCTAAGCAATTAAATAAAACAAGAATCATTGCAATCCAACGTTTAGTTCGTGAGGTATTCGTGCACAAACATATAGATATATATATGTATGTATATATTAGATGTATGTACATACTTATATACATAGATACATACATCTATAAAATTTTGCAGACGTGTTTATAAGCTCATACAGACCAACATATTTGAATATTAGGTCATTCCAACAAAATTCCAAAAAACCTCCTTTTTTTAAGTAAGTTAAAACATAATGAAAAAAAAAATGTTTATTTTGTAGTTAAGGGCGCTATATATGTACCTTGTAATAGCCTTTACTTACTTTGTTTCACACTCATCAACGCAAAATTTTATTTAAATTTTACTATGGTCATATACACATTAATTTAGCAATAAGGCCGCTTTTTGTGTACTCTGTATTATTACCAGACGTTGGAATTAGGTAGAGTTATTTATGTACTTTCATCGAAATTTTGATATTAATGTGGACCTTCCCGGGATTTCTTTATTTCTTCTTTCTTTATTTCTTTCTTTTATTGATGTAAGTTTGGCAAAGTCGTGCGTGCAGTAGCTTAAATTGTGTAAAAGTAGATAACTTTTTATTTAAAAAATCACAGCATTTTTTCTGCTCTTTAATATTAATCTCGGGATTTGAGGCATATCCACTTTATTCTTTCGCTGTGAAATCAGTGTAAGTACATGAATAACTCTACCTAATTCCGACCACTGATTATTACCCCAAGTAATTTCGTGTTGTTTTCTTGTATAATAATTATTTGGTAACGATATGATTCATGAAAATATCGACACAACGGATAAGCTTATTTAAATGAAGGATATATTTAATATGATTACTTATTTATGTTGTTAAAACATTAGGGGTCCATTATTTAAATACAATAATATGAATACATTGAGATACCACATAGTTACCTAGTGGTAGTATCGCTTTTCTGTATCAAGTATCGATAGCAATTCTATCGTTAACGCTATAACACTGATCCTGACTTGCTAATTTTGTCGTACTAGATACAACCATAGATCTATAAAAGTATATGGACTCAACCAAGAATTTAACTTCTTGGACTCAATAGACAAAGATAGTGGTCACAGACCAAAATGTAAGAAAAACTATACTAGAATACATAGGTTAACCTTATAGGTATACTCTAGAGCTCAACCTAAATCACAGAACAAATATCAACGAACAGTTGTTTTCATTTGGTATCAATCTGTAATGGTCTTGTAATATACGTAGTATCTTCTTCTTGGTCTGTGCTTGTAATTATATTCCGTGTGTGATTCCGTGGGTTTGTCAGTGTCATGGTAATTTTTTTATAAATGTCATATCATGTCGTCATTGAAAATTATTGAAAAGGAATTACGATATTTTTCTTTCTAATTTTTTTTCATAAGAGGCTGCAGAATAAGATGTTGTTGGAGCGATGGTTGTTGTGATTAGTAAAGTGAATGTAAAAATAACATTAACTAGTTATTTTTTGTTAACATCTTGACAATCTGAAATAATAATGCCTTGAAAAATGAACGGATTTAATGAAAAATTGGAAGCTAAAGTTGCCGAACGCAATGAACGTGCCAAAAAGCTTTATCGGTAAGGTTTTGAGATAAAAAAAATCATACGTGTTTAGTTGTTGACTAAATCTTTTATTTTTTGTGACATCATACATTATCTGATCTATGAGGTTATTTAATGTTTGTCTTTTATATTTACAGATATTTGACTGATGTAGCCCGACGTATTGGCGAATCAACAACAACATGTAATAGCGTTACCGATCTTTACACCATACATATGGAATTGCAAAGGCAAAAATTAAGGGATAATTGTGAGAAATTACTTTTTTTAGATCCAATAAACTCCGGAAAAAAGTCCCTTGAGCTTCTTTGGAGAAAAGTTTATTATGAACCTGTATGTATTGCCAAAAAGATAAGAGAAAAGGCAGATATTGAAAATGACAGTTCAGATCTGTATACTCACATTATCTGTGGGATTGGTCACTTCCATCATATTTTAACAAGAATACAGTCTGAAATGAATGTCAAATGTAATGATTTAGATTTTACCATCCTAAATGAAGACGAGGAATCTGAAGAACTTAAACATGCAACCATCAGTGAAGAGTTACAGTTTGCTAAATCAGCATTACATTTGTGTTTAATATATCTAGGTGATTTATGCCGCTATCAAGTGGAAATTTTTCAATCGAATCATCTGTCAGTGGCTGCTCGTTATTATCTCCAAGCAGCACAAATAGAATTATCATCTGGGATGCCTTACAATCAGTTAGGAAATCTATATTTGGATAAAAATTATAATTTGGATTCTGTCTGTTACTATATTCATTGCTTAACTTGTGAAACACCATTTAGCGGTTCATTGGGAAATTTAATAAAAATATTTGAAAAAAACAACCAGTTTTATGAGACTTTACAAAATACTGAAAATTCTACTCAGACAGAACACATTCAAAATACAATTGCAAACTTTTTGTCCTTAATTGAAATATGGTATTTTGCAAAAAATGATACTAATATTTCACAGAGATGTAGTCTTATTATACATCAGCTCAAAGTGTCAATGGATTTTTTAAAACCTACCTTGCCTGACATAAATAAAAACTATACAGAATACATACAAGTCATTGAAGAAGAAAGTGTAACTCCATCATATCTAAATGCTAATCTCGTCAATAAGATTGTACAGATTTGTTTGTTCACTCTTGCAAAAATGAGTGAGTCAGATGAAGTAAAAGCATTTGCATGTAAAGCGTTTACACTTGCATTGTTATCTCAACTTTTACAAAAGTTTCTTAAAGAACTTGAAGCAATGGGGTTAAAAAATCCTGCTGCTAAATATAAGCCCAAAGTGCCTGTTAATAATAATTCAAATATTAGTGAAGATAAATTAGATATTTCAGAAGAACATGACAATAAATCTGATACAAAGGAAGCAACATCTGATAAACCTCATGTTGCTCTGACAACAACTGAAAAAAATGCAGAGAAATTGCAAAATGGGGAACATAAAAATATGAAAAAAATATCTAAAAGAAGACGCCGGAGGAGAATTGCATCATCGGGTAGTTCAGATACAAGTAATATAGAAACCGAGAGTAGTGAGGGTGATACAGATGAGTCTAGTATAGAAGAAGATGATCTTTCAGAGTCCACTTATCAATCTGAAGATGACTCTAAGAGTGAAGTCTCTGAGCTAGATGGTTCTGATATTGATGATGTAAATGAGAAGCAAAATGGTTATATTAACAAAACTGAAGCAGATCAGATAAATGAAGACAAGGAAAATGATGGAGCAGCTGTGACAGGTCATTTGTTAGATAGTAAAAGTATTAAAGATCCACAATTAAATGAAAATGAAATACAAAATTTCTTGCTTGGAAATAATTTCTTGTGCAGTATAAAATTACTTCAAGATTGGATTCTTACCGAAAAAGAGCTCATTTTGTCTTGTGGGAATAGTGGCGAAGCTCTATTTCAGTGTGTGGTTGATCTTTTGAATATTCTAACATATTATTTCAACCCTAAATTGAAAGGGTCAAATGAAATTAAAGATTGCAAAGTACTAGAATATGCTAAACATGTTGCTAGAAATCTTAAACTAGAACACAAATCAATACCATTGCCTGAGGATGTAAATTTACGTGGTACTACTTTATGTAAATTTGACAAACATGCTGCCGAATGGCAGATATTAGACAGATTTAAACCATCAATTTATGAAGAAAACATTATAAGAATACTTAATTTCATTGATTTTGGAAATCAAATTGCAAAACTTGTTCCAAGGATTCGTCTTAACAGATCAATGAAAATATTTTATATAAAAAAAAATCATCCTCCAAAAATTAATACTAAAGTGAATCACAAAAGAAGTAGAGAATGGCATAACTCAAAAAAACAACAGGTAAGTTCTCATTACTCAACTAATTAAGTGATAAAAAAAATGATTGATTGAAATGATATTCAATTTCAGTTTATTTAATAAGCAGGTCTAAGTTTTACAAAGTATTGTCTTTATTGTACTCATAATGTTAAATATATTGTAGGAAACAAGTGAAGGTGGATTGTTGCGTCGCCTGGGCAAGTTATGGTTAGCGTCGCAGGTGCGAGAGCTGGAAAGAAGCGGTCACGCAGCGGTGCCGGCACTACTCGCGCTCGATACTGCCGCCCTCAACCAACATCTACGCCGCGTTAAACAACTGCTGCGTGCCAGAAACTTCATTCTCCTCATACCCACTGTTGGTTAGTACACAATTTCTAAAACATTTGATAAGTTCCCATATTAAACCAGATTCAGATATTCTGGTTGAGAGGTTTCTAGTTATCATTACAAGCACTAATATAAATGGTAATCATCTAGGGTAGCTACACACAACATGTAATTCTATGTAAATGTTCGAGAAAAAGTCACTCGGGTTTCACTAGACAAGTAGCGACAGCGGACCTGTATTAATCCGCAAATCCTAAATATATTTAGTTAAATTTTCTGGAATCACAAATCACTTAACTTCTACTTACAACAGCACTACACTACACAACAACTAACAGCAAGTATTGTTGTCTCATTAATACCAAAACCTCGACGATTTAGTTGCGAAGTAGCCATTAAAACGTGACAATACGCGGGACGCTCTAAAAGTTTCCGGAATCAATAATAAATAAATAAATAAGTTCATTAAACTAAAACCCGACTACAGCTAAATCACACTCTAAAAAGTTTGGAACAAGAAATTTATTTTAAAGCGATAGCTATATTATAATAGCGATGACCAAAGGACAGCAGTCTTATGCCACTGATCATAACAAAACAAACTGTCGTGGCGTATGACTATGCTGTTTAGCTGTAGAAGGGTTTAAGTTTTGTACTTGTATAATTAATTTTCGGATGTTTCTAAGCAAAATCGCAATCAAATGCTTTATATATTTGAAATGTGCTAATTAAGCCCTTTCATTTAATACCCTACACGGAATAATCACTACATAGTATAACACAAAGTCGCTTTCTCTGTCCCTATATCCCTATGTATGCTTAAATCTTTAAAACTACGCAACGGATTTTGATGCGATTTTTTTTCATAGATAGGGTGATTCAAAAGTAAGGTTTTTATGTATAATACAAAACCACGCGGGCGAAGCCGCTGGCGGAAAGCTAGTTAAATAATATACATTTTTTAGTTTCTTACTTTGTACTCTCTAAAAGGCGCTGTTGCCAATCTAATGTAACTTGACATAGTCTATAGCACGCGGACAACTAAGGCGTTTCTAACGATAGTACATTTGTCCAGTTACGATGAGTTTTTCCAAATTTATAAGGGAATAGATGAACATTCTTACATACATACCGCCAAAATCATAACCCTATTTTTCGCTTCCTCGTAGTCGGGGAATAAATGCTATTGATGGTCAAAAATTAACTGTTTCAAAATATTCGCCTTTTGCGTCAATGCACTTTTTTCATCCGAACCAACTTTGAAAACATTTGTGCCACTCCTCCATCACAGTGTAAATATAAGTATACAGTGGTGAAACTGCCTACAAGCGTTCGAAATCGCACGCACACATAAACACGCTCACCGACGAGCCGCCTAAGTGGACCTAACAGGACGCTCAGTAACGCGTAGCGCGTCGAGATGAGGGGTCACGTTATACGTTCCGCGATCGTTTTTATTTAAAAAATGAAGGAAAGATTAAGGAAAGGAGTAGGCTTATATGAAATAAAATTCTAAAATATATCTGGAAATATATTTTAGTCTGGAAATATATTTTAGCCGCCCAGTTTTCGCATATGTTATTTCTATATCATGTGGTGATAATAGAATAATATAAGTAGATGTCACCGTCTGAACAAATGTGTGTGTATATTGTTTGTTTGTTAATTAGTTATTACAATTCGATTGATTGATAATGTCTCCTTTCACTCCTAGAACTCCTTTCATATTTTGTAAAAGAAACATTCAAAACGACAACCCTATGGTTTCAATGGAGCGTAGGTATTTATTTTATCAAATAGGCTTAGTTTCTATACTGTGTCATTCTTATACTGTGCCTCCATGGTGATAGATACATGTATTTTCATACTCTTCGACTGTTTCTTATGATGATGAGAACCGTTGATCGCTTTTATTCGTTATTTAGCAAAAACAAAGGCTTAAAAATTATGCTACATAACTTACTGTTTCAGTGCTTCAAGAGCTCGACGAGTTGAAACGTGAACAAAGCAGCGCTCGTGACGCTATACGCTGGCTGGAAACTCAACTGAGGAGTGGATCACGATTTTTAAAAGCGCAACGACCTGGTCAGTCACGCCCTCTACCGCTTCTCAAATACCCGCGCAAAGCCCCGCCATATGTACACAACTACATTCAGATATTAGAATTTTGTAACCACTTCATCGATGACGAAAAACAAACTCAAGGAGGTAATGGAGATCCCGAGAATACAATACCAGGAAAAACTGCTCCTCTGCTCGTTTTGCTTGTAGGAAACGAACCTGGTAGTACTGAAGAGCAATATAAAGAGTTTAGCTTGACTGGCACAGCCCAAGCTGCCGGAATTTCAATCCAAAATATCGGAGAATTTTACGCAAAATGGCGACATGCGGTTCATAAAAACGGAAAGAAAAGATGAGATTTTTTGAACGCATTCGGGATTTGACAGTGCCGAAAGGAAAAGACAGACGCTTTGCTTTCGGGGACAAATTGAACCATCTCGTTCAGAGCATAATTTGGCATTTTGTGAGCTTGCCATATCAGTGTTACAATATAACACGATATTTAATGTCAAAGATATTAAAATTTAACTGAATGTTTAACTCCCAAGTATTTCAGGCTAATCCTGTCCTGATTACAAGATTAAGCGAGTTTACCGCCATCATATCTCTCATAATTTTATGTTTATTTCATTACATTACAATCGTTTAATTACTTTTTTTTTTGCTATTCATGTTATTTTTAATGGGTGTCGCTTTCATTATTTCATGTACCTTTTAATAATTGGTTATAATAAATCATTATATATTGTACAACTATTCACCGGGATGAGTATGTCTAGATATACTTCTAACAGGGTGCTTATTTTGTCTGTAAAGTTTAATTTCCATTCTTGAAATAAATGTTATCATATTACGGAAGTTTTATTATTTATGCATATGCATACATTTCAGTGGTAACTTTTACATTCGATATGGAAAATCGTGTATTTGGAAGAAAAAATATAGTATTTTATAACGTAAACGAACACGTAATATGTACAGTAATGTACAACTGATGTACTGCGCAGAAGGCTAAATTTAGAAGTGTGGCTAACGTCGAACAATCAGGATGATTCAAGTATCATGCGAGTATTCGCCAATATCCATCCACACGTCTGACCTACGCTGACTTGGCACCCTAGCTAGGCAAAACACTCGATCGACGCTCATAAAATAATCACAACAAAATATAAGATTAATGTAGGTGTAATTTCGCCGATGACAAAGGAAGGAAACTCCTTAGATACTGCTGATTTGAGAATAGGTTATTTGACGCTTATCTGAAAACTATTTCTTCTTCTTCTCCTTCGTCTTCTACTTTAATCGCACTTTGCCACCACAATACTGTCAACTTCACGTTGGAGACCATTGCACGATTTAAATATATTCATGCATCCAAACAATTTTGAATTACCAATTCTATCTTTCTACGTGGATTTACCAAAAACAACACGTTTAACGATTTTAATACGTTAATTATGGAATAATGTTATATACAGACCGCTGTAAGTGACGAGTGATGTAAGTGAGCGAAAGATACCACTGATGTTAAAATTGTAATTCATTAATACTGAAAAATTTAATTAGGGATTTGACTATTGAAACATCACTAATTGACTGAAGAACAAACTTGCTATTAAGTGGGCGAGGAATATTGGTGGGTAAAATGTCATAAACGGAACACGAAATATTTGGGCAATCAAAAAATATGTGGACAGATGACCCCTTATCTAGTCCACAGTCACAAAGGGAGCTATCCCGAACTTTTAATTTCGCCAGATAGACAGAATTACAAGCATGACCAACCCGAAAACGACAAATGATGGATGCTTTTTTTGGAATGTCCATAAATACAAAAAATCATGGTCTGCTAGGTATAAATGGTTGAATTTCAAAGTAGCTTTTGCCTGCTTTTAACCTAGTGTTTTGTCAATCAAACGTCCATGATTGAACGAGATGAGAATGAGGAAGTAACATTAAATCCATAAGGGGTATCCCAAGATAACTGGGAATTAAAAGGCAATAGCTTCTTTCGCGCAAGAATCTGCAGTCTCGTTACCAATGAGCCCACTATATCCAGATATCCATGCAATTACCAACTGAATAACCTTATTTTTGTCATCTTAACAAAGATCTTAAAACTCATCTTAACTGGATTATGAGATTCCGCATACAAAACAGCTTCTAAAATAGCGATAGACTCTCCAGTAAAAACAGAAGACAATGAAGGAAGTTGAACACTTAACACTATTTTAATTTTTTGGGAGCCATACGGCAGCACCAATATGACCGTTGACGGAAAACCTAGAGGTATCCGTGTACATAGTAGTCTAACCGTGCCAGTTACGATGAAGCAAATCGGTAAAATCATAAGGAGAACTTTTAGATTTTTTTTCTATTTCAAACTTACGATGAATTTCAGGTTAAATATAAGAGAATCGAAATTAATTTGGTTTGGTTAAAATTTGGTTAAAAGAAAAAGAATATGAAAAAATTGAATCTATGCTATTAACAATAACTTAATATTAAAAATTAAAATAGGAAAACACACACACTCACCTATACATACACACACACACACACACACACACACACACACACACACACACACACACACACACACGCACACGCACACCGCGCGCGCCTATAATTACAAATAAATATGCACTAAAATTAAAAAGTTCTCTTTTTCTCACATATACAAACACAGTGCTATGTAAATGGAAGAGCGGGATCTCCCAATACAAGCAAAGATTTGCTTAAAAGGAGTCTCCAAAACCTATATGTATATGTTATTGTCTAGATGATGAAATAAACATTTTTCATTTTTTCATTTTCATTTTCAAATTAATTTATAAAGAGGGTTAGAAGAAAATTTCTACATCGGAATCGTGGGCTTATAAAACTTATTGAAGCTAACCACTGTACAAGGAAGTTTTTGAGAATCAGTTTCTAAACTGTAACTCTTCGAAAAAGCGAGCAATTTTGGAATAAGTGGATGAGAGGTTTTTGAATAAATCTATCACATAAAAACTGCTTACGCAAATACAGGGGAGTCTCCACGCACTCTATTTGTAGGGATTTTATGGGAGACGATTTCATAGCACCTGAGATGATTCTTATGGCTTTGTTTAAAATTAAGGAGCAAGTTATTAAAAATTGGTTAGAATGGTTAGCGGAAAGTTAAAATATTTTGGCCTCTCAATTCGGATTTAGAAAGGGATTTAGTACCTACGATAGTCTGGCCATTCTTCCCTCACTTCTTACCCCAGATATCCTTCTGGCTTTTTGTAATAAAGAATACATGGTGGCAATATTGCCTCGGCGTATGACAACGTTCAAATTCGTGTTCTTAGGCAAAAATTGCTCCAGTTGAATATGCCTGCTAAATTGGTACGTTTCATTTGTAATGCCATCTCTTCTAGATCTATTTCCATCAGATCTCAAAATGTGTTTCTGCCCGCCAGAACGGTTTGGTATGGCTTTCCTTAAGGATCTGTGCTCAGTCCCTTTATACACCAAAGATTTGGAAAGTTCGGTGAACCCATTTTGTGAAATTCTGAAATACGCCAATGATGTAGCCTTTTATATTCGCGTTAAATCTATGGTAGAGGCTACGTTAGGCTCAAGCATTATATTATCTAAGAGTCTGGCTAGAAAATCATAGATTATCCATTTCAGTTCAGAAACAGTACAGTTGTGTTCACGAAAAAGCATATCATTCCTGACTGTAATCTAGTTTTTAATGGTAACTTAATTAAATTACAAAATGAGTCCAAATTCCTAGGAGACTTTCTGGTAATCCTCACGTCGATCATGTTCTCAAGAAAACTGAGCGAAATTTGAACGCATTAAGAGCGCTGTCAGCCCATCCCATGTTTGGTGGGGAGCCCGACCAATGTCTCAGAAAATTCCGTTAGGAAAATTCTTTACAATGCTATAGTACTAGTCACTTTGCCTATGGAACTCCATTTTTAGATCCTTGTAATAAATCTGCAATGACAAAATCTTTAAAGGTGAAACCGTAACCATATGTTCCTGAAAACTATTTTAAATGGTTGTTGTTGTAATAAACACACTGTCAATTTATTTCATGAGGATCTGTTCTATTTTTGATAAATTAATTGTTAAAGTTTGAATCTATGTAATGGCGTTGATCACGTGGTATTTTTGACGTCACATGCCATGGACATAACTTATTTAACAGCTTCATTGACGAAGTAAACAAACAGTATTACAGAAAAGAAACTGAAGTGAAATTTCATGATCTCTAATAATAACACTGTATTGGCATGACAGACGTGTGACGTCACATGCCGGTAAACTGAACCTGTTATTAGTTGCGAGTCGTCGCCAATGAAGAAATATTTACAAAAATAAGAAAGCACTAAAAAAGCACCTCCACTAGATGGCGACTCTAGCGAAAGTTGATTTTTGCAAGTAATTAATGGACCAAAAATAGTCATTTCCGTTCCTTTAAGTAACATATTAAAAAACTGAAATTTGTTAAGTTGGAAACTTAGATATCAATACAAATACGAAAAAGTACAAATGGAATATGAGTTGTTTACTGAGTTTTGAAAATGAATTTACTTTTACAAGAAAACTGGAAGAGTTGTCATCGTAGACAAGGATAAATTAAGAAAGTACCGTAGCGACATCTGGTTTGATTTCGGGAACTAATGATTTTTTTTAAATACTTCCTCATTACAGGGCATCTTCGTCGTACATTAAAATTCCTAAAAATGTTGCGTTTTCCAAGCGTATTATTTACATTACTTAACTAAAGTTAAGCATAGTTTGTCTGCAGATTCTAAGAAACAAACTTAATTAAATTTTATCTAACAGGATGAGCATAATACGCAACTTATTGTTAATAGTGTCAAATACCCTATTTTTTTCTTTTGAAAGCGGCGAACATGCATTCATGTACAAAAAAATATATTTTTGTAAGGTATTGAATGGGTTCAAATAAAATAGACCAAAATAGATTATACCATACCGCCCTCCAAATACGAGGTCTCTAAGCAGTTGTCCTATATTGAAATTGCCCTGTTACCAGTGAAGTTGTTATGCTGCCAGCGGGTATTCCCACCATACAGTAATAATGGTCGTATTGTATGAACGAGATACCAATGACAAGTTTCCTACTAAAATTAAACGAAAAATCGCCATATTGTCGCCAAGATGTTGTATTTTAAGATTAGAATTAGGCGATTACACCACAAAACGCTTTCAGTTATTTTGATATTTAAAAAATGCTACTAGGTAATCTGATTTCGAAAAGAGCCCATTGACTTTAGAATAAAAAAGAAATTTGAAAATAGGTCTTTAATTCTTGGAAAATACCTACCTCCCATCGAATTTAGATTGTGAAAAAAAAAAATTACATTAGTTAGATTAAAACCTTAATCCACTAGCCATAAGTTCATAATCAGGATTATGTTATTTTTAGATTAGATTTAGTCTCTTTAAAAGTATTGTCGCTTCGTAACAGAAAATAAACGAGCAATTTTCACTTTATAATTTTAATTACTAGGTATAATGTATATTAAAATACTAGTTAATAAAAAAAATAAGTTATGTAACAAACAATATACACATAGGTACGTGAATCAAAACCGTAGCCGAAATGAGCACAAAATAATTTAAAATCATTTCTTCACCATTTTAGAACTTACAGTGGCTTATCATAGCATATGGTGATATAAAATTTAAACTTACAATTTATAATAAGCAGTGCCAACTTTTACAATTTTCTTTTAAAATGTTATATGCATAAAATTATATAACAACTTAAAAAGTATATAATGGTGTTAGATTGAGTTTTTAAGTTAATATATCTTATACTTAAAATTAATTAATTTTATACCTATATACTTCAATTAACATAACCTTTCACAGGCCTTTCCGATTGGCAGGGCTGAATAAAACTCTTTATTTTTAAACTTATTTTAAGATTCAATACAATAATGTACAAAATATACATTGTTAACAATCTTTCAACAGTCTTATAGCTTTAGATACCTATACAGTATTGCACTTAAAACACATGGCTGAAGTAATGTGATTTTACTGATGGCATAGAATATTGAATGAGATTATTATAGCTGCTACATTCAAATGTAGTTTTAATTATAACCCATTTTTAATCCAGCACAATCATAAATAGTCTTTGAATCACACCTCACAAACTGGTTTAAAAGATTAAAACATTAAAAAATCCCACCAGAAACATTGTAAATCGATATTATCAGCTAGCATCCCACTAATTGTATCAGTTGTTGTACTGTTGAACGATCTAACAAACATAAATCAAAATCGAATGTTTGAGTTGTGACTTCATATCGTCCAGTCTCTGCTATTAGATTAACAACTCTCTCTAATTCTTCATTGTTATTTATAGTCATTATGCGTTTTTGGAGATCTCGTAATTGTCCCATGTACTCTGGAGACAGTTCACCAGGCTCAGCATCCTCACCTAAACTACTTGAAACTCCATTGTCTTGAACCTTAGTTTCTACAGATGTAGAACTACTACTTTCACCTCTTTCAGTATCATTATTTGTAGGGATTAAAGGTTCAGAGGATTTTGTTATTTTTCTGTTTTCTGAGTTTTCTTCTTCTGCTGCTTTGCGTTTACGTCTTTTTTCTTCTCTTTTAGACTTGTCCTTATGTTTCTTGGATTTATCTTTTTGTAGTGGGGTAGCTTCCACAATAGGATCTGGTTCTGGTTCAGGTTCAGGTTCAATTTCTGGTTCAGGTTCTGGTGTGGGCTCATGTTTTAGTGGTTCTGGGGATAGGTTTTCTATTTTGACTTTACTATCATCATCATCTATCAAAGAATTTTCAGAATCAGAGTGACTGCTGTTTGCATCTTCTGTCCCCATGTGGGAGATTTTAGCGAGACCACTCTTTGAACTGCACTGGGAGGCAGTGTCGATAGATATTGGAGAGGCAGGTTCTGGCAAAGGACGTTCTTTAGCTAATGGTGTCTCTCTGTGTTCAATGATCTCAGCTTTTTCTAAGGTAATATCTTTATTTTTTTCATGTTTATGCTTTTTTTCTTTATTTGCCTCTTTGTGTTTTTCTTTGGATTCATCCCTTTTTTTATCTTTCTTTTTGTGTTTATGTTTCCTTTCAGAATCAGGCTTTTCTTTCTTCAGATTTTCTGAACGATCTATATTTTCTGTAGGTGTCAATTTTCTCAAGTTTTCTATCGAAAACTTATTGATTGACTTTTCTGGTTTAAGTTGCTTTTCCTTTATTGGTGGAGATTCTTTAGCTTGTTCTCGTTCCTTTGGTATTTCTCTAGGTTTAATTTCTTTTATCACATCTTTTGGGGGATCAAATGAGAGCTTAGGTGATTCTTTTGATTTATGACCCTCTTTCTTATGCTCCTTTTTCTCTTTTCTTTCTTTATCTTTATCTCTATCATGACTTTTCTTCTCTTTCTTCTTTTTTTCTTTCACCTCTTTGTCTGCTTTAACTTCAAGCAATTTTTCCTCCAGCTTTAACTTTTTCTGATCATTTTCTACACTATGTTTTGTTGGTTTGAAGTCATCTTTGAAGCTGGATGCACTACTAGATCGAGGGGGAGGACTTGGCATTTTTCTAATGGGACTTGTACACTTCTTTTTTGCATTCTCGGGTGATGGAAGCCTCTCGCTTGGCCTTTTAGCAGGTTTCTCTTTAGATTTTTCTTGTTCTTTATAATGGGTTTTTACTTTTTCCATTTTAATTTTCTCTTTTTCATCTTTAAGTTTTACCTTGTCTGATTTCATTTCTTTGTGCTCATGTTTTGATTTCTTGTCTGAATTCGATCTTTCCTTGTCTTTTTTGTCTGATTTAGGAATAGATGTAGTTTTTTCAATCTTTTTAGGGTCTGGTGAAACCTTCGGTGGTTTTTGAATTGGAGGTCCAAACAAATTTTCGAAGCTGCTTGTTCTATGAGGTATTTCTTCTTTATGTTCTTTTGACTTATGCTTCTTAATGTTATCTGATGATAATTTTGGTTTATTAGTAAGTTGTGACTTTTCATCACTAAATGAATCTCTACTTCTACTTTCTTGATCTGGATTAGTATAAAATGCATTATTAGTTATCAGTATGCCCCCCCCTTTAAGCAATTTTTTCCTGAAATCCTCGTTAGGATTTGGAAATATATATCTGTCTTTTAAAACTCCACTATGTTCTAATGTGAAATCATAGGCAAACTTAATCTTTTTAGGTTCATCTTTATTCTTTAAATAGATTTCAATAGGGAACATAAATCCAGCATATCCAGATTCCTTGATGGAAAAAGGAGGTTCCTTTACAACTGAAAACAAAAAATGTACAATTAACATTAAAAAAAACATTTTAAACAAAATCAATGCAGTATCAAAAAATGTACTGCATTAATCATATTAAAATATAAGATTAGAATCTCTGTTTCATAACATTGAAATAATAAAACTTGTGCTATTTAATGAGTGGCACACAATGACTAATTAATGAAAATGATAAAGAATAAACAATGTGTATTATATACGTACCTCGCCGAGGTTTTGGAAAAGTTTCATGTAAGTGAAATACTACTTTTTCCACAAAGTTACTTATATCTGCACCTTCTTGACCGCGTACGAAGACTTCCCAATCGTGAGTAAAGCCCTCGGGTGTCTTTTTTGAACGCAAAGATGCTTCGTGTCCAATTTCAAAATTCACTTTTATTGCTGACATTGTTGATGTGAAAATATATCTTCCAGTGTTATTTACATCTCAAGCAGTAAAGAGACTAGGATGAAATAAATATCAACACCAAAAATTTATAGACACAGTAATATTTAACTAATAGTCGCACATAAATTATATGAGAAGTTCAATTAATATAAACTTCAAAACTGTTATTCAGTAATCGATTTCAGAGATAGCGAAAATTATCTTTTTAGCGCCCTTGTTATTATGATCCGCCATATTATTAAAATTTTTGTACCATGTTTACTTCATCAAAATTACAGGAAAGGGATTTCGCTCATACAGCCAAACGTTTGGCGTTTGATATAGTATTAAAAAAAATAGTTTCCGAAATCAAACTAGATGTCGCTACAGTACATTCTTGATTTCTCCATGACAAACCTTTCGGTTAGCTTTCATGTTAAAAAGTAAATTAGTTTTTTCCAAGTTAATAAAAAATATTTAAAAATCAATTTTAAAACAATGTTTACTATACCAGAATTCTGCATGCAAAATTTATAGAATTAAACTAGCTGAACCCGCGATTTCGTCTGCGTGGAAAGTAGCCTTAGTAATTCCTTATTACATAAACTATCTGCAGTGAAAGTCCCGTCAAAATTGGTCTAATCGTTTCAAACTTTAGCCGGAACAAACAGTCAGACAAAAATTTAAAAAATATTACAGTAGAATCCGTTTAATATAACACCGCCTATAGGGACCAACCGCCTATTATGACGTAATTACACAACGAAGTTTGGTTTTCATATAAATTTCTTAAAAACAATGTCGGATATAATGACTTTGCTTATAGTGACATGTCGGTTATTATGACCCATTTTTAATAAATTATTTCCGGTTATAATGATCGACATGACTTTTTACGCTTCCGATAATGTTCGGTGATTCCCGGCGTCGTTCGGCATGTGGCTTAAGCAAATTCAAAATAATCTTTATTCAAATAAGCTTTATTCAAATAAGCTTTATTCAAATAAGCGCCGATTTCACTACCCAATTTATCGGGCACGATCTATCGGGTACACTGTAAATTAGGAAGTCTAATCGCTGTTAGAGAGTTAGGGTCCCGATATCGGGTGATCGTGAGCGCCCGACCACCCGATCTCACTAGTTAGTGTGTTAGGGCCGATTTATCGGGCAATGTGATCGCGTTAGAGCGCTCAGTCAGTTGTTGCGCAGCAGCTTGTGTGACGTCAGTGAACGACAAGGAAATTTGTGAACAGAGAAAAATGTCTTCTCAAAAGGAAAAAGAAATAAAATTGTAAATGTAATTTAATATTATTACTTTTTCTTATAATATATATATATACATGATATAATGTTTTAAACATTTTTAGATAGCCTTGCATGTGTCTGGTACAGATTTTGATAGAAATGGTTCTGATATCAATGATTTTAGCGAAATTGAAAATTTATAATTATGTATTATTATTTTTTTATTAATTGCAATAATTAAAACTAATGCTCCTCCTTTCTATTATTGTTGAGCCCGACAGGGTCCATAGTGAGTCCTACTTAATTATGTAACATTATTTTAAATTACCTATGGAAGCAATAAACTTATTGAGTATTGAGTATTTATACTTTAAATCATGATATGCATTTCCCGTTGCTAAAAATTTTAAGGTTACAGCACAGCTAACCGCTATTTTGCGCTTACACCAGTTTTAAATAGCGTATATTGTTTTTTTTTTATATAAGGCATGACTAAGTTTAATATATGATCAAATTGTGCAGAACTCATTCTGAAGTAGTTCAAACTACATAGTTTGTCTCTTAGAAGCAAATATTTTTTCACCCAACATTTTCTATTTTTGTTTGATTTTTTTGATTCAGATGATTTATTCGCTTCTTTTCAAGAAATCCAAAATGTTACAATTACATTTCTCAATAGTAATTGACATGAAAAATTTTTAAAACATGGTTCAAATCATTTTTAGAAATGTTTTCCTTTTTGCTTTTTTAAATTGTGATAAACATTAAGATAGCATCACCAAATATTTCACGGATTTATCTACAAACATAATTATTTATAGCTGGTGCAGAGCAATAAATAGAATATTAGATGGAAAAATTTCCTACCAAGGAGACGATAAAATAAAAAAGCGGCTACAGAGTATTATAATAAACATAAAAGTTATGCCACTTAGAAATAATGTCATATTTAATAAAGGTATAATTATAAAAAAATATTTTTTTACTTATTTCCAATTAGGGGAAACGGTATAGTTATTGGCCCTCAGATAGTAATTGGCCAATTAAATTTAATTATTAAAAAACTACCAACTAAGCTAACAAAGGTAAGATACAGAAAGTTTATGTTGGTAACACTGTTACTAACTGTCAAATAACGCCAAAAAAGTTTTGTTAGGTGTAACGGTCTTTTTGTGATTTGTGATTTTGTGGCACTGGAGCAAAAATAAGTAAGTTTAATTTAAATTTTGTAAGACATTAGATATTTTAAGTATGATAATTTTAGAAACATGAATGTAGTAAAGTAACTGAAAACCTCTAAAATATGTAGTCTGTATGTTTAATTAGCGGATTTAAGGTGTGATATAAGAAAAAATTGATTATAACTTAAAATATTGTTATGGCCAATAACTGTCACTGTATTTTTTTCAATTTATAGTAATTGGCCTCTTATGCCCATTACTATATTTATTCTATATTTAGTAAAGAGCGTTTCTAATAGAGAGTTATCGTCTTATTTTTAAAATAATACGGCCAGATCAATCTCCATATATTTCAGAGGACTGTAAATAGTTATTGGCCTAGGCCAATTACTGTGCCACTTACATTACTAACCAATACAAAAATAGGCCAATTACTGTGTAACTTTTTACGTATTTTTTAAAATTCAATTATCGTTTTTTTCTACTCCAATAGGTAGACTGGTAAAAAACACACCATGCCAAAGAACCCCAATACACCAAAGAAGCTCTTGATGAGGCATTGGAAAAAATGAATGACAAAACGATGTCTTTGAGAGCAGTTGCAAAGAAGTACAATAATCCAAGAGCAACTCTACAGTTCAAATTAAAAATCCTACTTCGAGATCCCAATTTGGGCCAATGCCATACTTAACTTATGAAGAGGAAGATACAATTAAAAACTGGTTAGTCAGAATGTCTCGCAAAGGCTTTCCGAGAAAAGCAGATGATGTTCTCGATACTGTTCAAAAATTTTTGACTGCAAATCCACGCGATACTCCGTTTAATAACAATAGGCCTGGTCAAGGCTGGTTGAGAGCTTTTTTAAAACGTCATCCCGATATCAGTCAAAGAACCAGTGAGGGCGTTTCTAAAGCTAGTGCCTGCGTGGCTGAGAGCGATATAAAAAAATGGTTCGCAGAAATCAAGGATTATTTTACTACTGAAAATGTATTGGAGGCCATTCAAGATCCACAACGTGTTTTTAACGCTGATGAAACAGGTTTTCAGCTTTGTCCTTCTTCAGGTAGAGTTCTTGCAGCTAAAGGTGATAAAAATGTTTATGCCGTAGAACAAGGAAACACCAAAGAAAATATCTCATTACTGTTCACATTTTCTGCTGATGGAAGAACATGTCCTCCGTTAATAGTATTTCCTTACAAACGACTCCCGGAAAAAATTGCGTCGTCGGTGCCGCCACATTGGGGTATTGGACGGAGTGATACAGGATGGATGACTGCAGATGTTTTTAATCAGTTTGTCACTGACATATTGGCGCCATACCTTGAGGAAAACAACATCAGTAAACCAGTTATCCTATTTATCGATGGACACAAAAGTCACATTACTTTACAGCTCAGTTTAACGTGTAAGGAACTAGGAATCGAAGTTGTTGCTCTTTATCCTAACACTACTCGTATTACTCAACCGGCAGATGTATCAATATTTGGGCCAATCAAGAATATGTATCGCAAAGCAGTTCGGCAATTTCAAGCAGAAAACGTGGGAGAGGCTGTGACAAAGTTAAATATTGCTAAGATTTTAAAAACAGTCGTTGATAATTTAAAGTCTGATAGTATAATCAATGGATTTAGAACGTGTGGGCTATGTCCTTTTAACGAGAATGCTATTGATTACTCTAAATGTTTAGCTGCAGAAAAATCTGATGAAGCCGCCAATATCGAAATAAGCATATGACTGTAAAAGACTTCAAAAATATTGTAGGAGTAGATATGATCAACAAGTTGAAAGAACTGCAATCTAAAGGTACATCTTTAAACGATAAATCTCCTACACTATACAAATTGTGGTGCTTTTTTCAAAGTGATTATCCTCAGAATGAATCAAACAGTGTTGAAATACAGACTGCAAATAATATAACCACTAATGTAAATTTTTCCTGCGAAGATAATGTGACAAAAGTACAAATTACTATGACACCCACTAAAACTCCTGTAGATTTGACCACGCCTAGTACTTCATACGATACTTCTTTTATCAGAAAATCAATAAATGATTACCTATCAAATGCGCCGGAAAATAAACGGAAATTCGTCAGAAACATAGAAAAAAAGCCGTTTGTGATTTCATCCGAAAAGTTTAGAGCAGCTATTGAGAAAAAGGAAATTGAAAAGCAACAAAAAGAGAATGAAAAAATAGAAAGGAAATGAAAAAGAGAAGAACAAGCAACCGCAAAGAAAGAACTTGTTCTTATGAAGACAAAAAAAGGTAAAGGTGTAGGGAAGAAAACAAAAAAGGAAAACGTAAGTGATGGATACGACAAAAAAAATGAAACGATTGAAATTAAAAATTTAAATGATGCCAATGAGGTAAATGAAAACAAGGAAATGAAAGGTGAAGAATGTAGTGATGGAAAAGATAATTTAAATAAAGATAGAAATAAACCAAAGATATTACAAAACCTTTTAGTAGTGACCTGTGATTCATGCCATCGTCTAGCAGTTGAACATAAGTCCTTATTATGTAGCTCTTGTCAGAAATCATACCATCCTCAGTGCATTCCTAATAAACACCAGGAACACATTCCGGATCAAGATGAGCTTTCTGATTTTATATGACATAAATGTTATTTGTTACACGATGATTCTGAGTTGTCTGAGGATGAGAGTACTCAAGAGGATATAGGTATATTTTAATTATTGAAAATGATTATTTTTGATGTTTAAATTTATTTTATTTTATGTTTCAAAGATGGCTAATTACTGTACGATCTCAAGGCCAATAACTGCTATAGTGCGGCCAATAACTGTAAAATTTATATTTTTGTTTTTAATTTGATTTTATTTAGACAATATATTAAAATAATGTAGGTAAACAAAGAAAATTAATAAATACAGTTCTATAGATTCCATGAAACAACTTTTTATTTATTACAAATATTTATTTATTTTTTTACTTCCCGCTTTCTACATTGAAGTCGCTTAACTGGCCAATAACTATACCGTTTCCCCTACCTATAATAAAAACATCTTAAACACTCTTATCTATAGTCGAGAGAAGTAATTATTTGAGAAAATGTCTAATATCTTTTGCCAATAGACATTTTTTCAAATAATTACTTCTCGACTATAAATACGAAGTTAAGAATAGCTATAGATAATACCTATATATATATGCAAGTATACAAAAATATATCTATACGTAAAAGCTATCTATAGTATAGTTGGCAAAAATAGTTCACTGACCAAACTCCAGTTGGCAGCACTTTCCATACATGCAAAATTTTCCGTAGAGTTGCTATTCTTTCCCTTTTTATATTACATAATTCTAGCTGACCCGACAGACTTCGTCCTGTCAAAAAGATTTGTAATGTGGCAGTTTTTTTGCCTACGTATTTAAAAAAATTCTCCTGAACAGAACCGTCACCCTGGTGATAGGGCGTTGTGAATAAAAAATAATTAAATAAAACATATATAAGGATTTAAAAGTAAGTAATCGCTTTATTGTTAATCATGTGAATCATAATTATTATTGCAATGTATTAAAAGTAATAGTATTAAATATAGAAAAAAGAGATTTTTATGATCATAAAAACACATTACACACAACAGCATTATAAAAGTAAACTATTCGAATTAAAAAAATATATAAACATTCTCAAGGAAAAATGCTGGAAGAATCCATCTACCTGTACCCCGGAATGGGACTCGAACCCATTCGCGATCCAGGGACTGCTCTAACCAATGAGCTATCTAGGACCCAACAGCTTTGCTACTACAGAGCGTATTTTCATCAATGTTCCGGCAATACATGTAATGACGTGGAAACTGATGCATTTTATCTCGCGTGCCGAAACTAATACAAAAGAAACGCGAGTTTCGGAACGCGACATTAAACTCCTCCAACTATGTATTCTGTGCTCCTTAGACAACAGTGAGTGCTTGTAATTTAATATGAACTTTATACCATAGCAATAAAGCTCAAATTGACTACGTTTTAGTTACAAATCATTTGTATGGGAAAAATAAAAGGGCTATTTTTAGGGTTTTTCCAGCAATAATTCTAATTTTTCTTTCTAAATTTCGTAAAAACCATCCTTTAACTTCAACGAACATTTTAAAAAAAGATTTGGCCAAATTGGTCGAGGCGTTGTTGAGTTATGCGCTTACCAACACATTTTGCGATTCATTTTTATATATATAGATTACTCTTTGTCCCTGACAAAAGAGTAAAGTTACCTATTTGTTCGTGGGAGTATTCCAGAGTTGCCATAATAAGTAATAGAATATCTACTAATAATATTCACACTTGTGATCCGTTATGGGTTGCTTAGCCATCGAAGTAAAGTAAATGTTTCTATTTATATACTAACGTTTTAAACTATTCGTATTGCTAAAGTTTTAAGAAATTACCGATGGTTAATCGTTGATTAGGAAATCTTAATCGATAGCAACTGATCATTTGAAAGATCGATTAATCGAATAATGGTAATCGACTCCTCACATCAAAGTCAATGGTTAATCGCCTGTCCCTTGGACAAAACTGCTAGTGACTACTACCTACTAAGTCTGTGACTACTTGTTAATCTACTAATACTTACTAAGTCTGTGATCTACTCGTAGAGTATTATTGTTCTGTGACTACTACTACTGTTAATGGTTAAATCCATTGAGTACATTTGATTTGCTTAAATGGTTAATTGGTTAGAACTGGGACTTTTTTTATAGTGGGACACAAATAGTTTTAAAAAGCGTTACACGTCGATAAAACACTTTCAGAAATCGTTTTCTTTTAACTTTTAGTATGTCAGGAATAATGGCTAAATTTCTTCAACCGCTTAGGTATTTAACTTCATATTAGTTATGAAACAAAGCTCCTTCTGTATCATTTTCTTTAATTACGGTGCAGTGAAAACAGTATATAAACAAACAGTTAATTAATAAATATGTCCGTATTTTCATACAGGTTAATAATGAAACCAGGACTACAAGTTGCAAAACAAATAACAGGGGTAAATTTAGTAGCGACAGAGACTTTCTCTCTATTAAGCATTAGAACCAAAGTCCGTTGTTATTTCCCACGGCCAAATGAAGTTAGAAGAGTTCGAAGACATGGTTGGGAGACAAGGATGTCTACTCCTAATGGTCGTAGAATAATAATGAGAAGAATTTTAAAAGGTAGACATGTGTTGTCGCATTAAATTATAAAAACAGTTATATGAATTTGTAAAATAAAATAGTGTTAGAAACAAAATTATACTTTTATTTAATGACCTTTTTATATCTGCAAAAGTTAATTCTTAATACAAAGCTTCATTTTACTTATTACCTAGATTTTAGGGTGTAAAAAACAAAACTATTTTTTTTTTATACAGCATAAAACTGTAGATGTTACATAAACACAGTTTATTTTAGAAACATACATTGAAAACATGACTGCATTATTTGAGCACATCATACATTACAAATTCTATGAAATCATAATTCTATTTTTTAAAGTTCAATTGATGTTCATAAACTTAAGTTACTAAAAATATTTTTAGTTAAATAAGTACTTTTGTTGCATGTGCACTGAGTCTTCAGAATTAGTAGGAGATTTTGCAGGTTTCAATAGATTTGAAACTTCAGAAACTACAAGAGTTGTAAGTTTAATTATTGCTAAATGAGCAGCAAGTTGCAAAATAAGTGCTCCAAACCCTTTGTATAAACCTGCCACACCTTCTTTTGCTACTGTTGTATGGTAACAATCAACAAATCCTTCATATCCTGTTAGAATAGGAATTACTGATGTTCCTGTATCCAAATTATCTATAATAGTTCTTGTCCCCTGAAAAAAGTTTTAAATTACAATAACATCAAAAAGAATGAAAATTAAGAAAATACATATATTTTTTCAATAAGCAAAAAACAAAGAGTAATTTTATGTTTGTTCACCTGTATATGTAGCCGGTGGATAATTGTTTCAACAGGGTAGAATAGTACCTCCATTGTAATAAATGAAAATATGTTGGCTTTTAGGTTGATATTTTCAATCAATGGATTTTGTGAGTTTCTTTGATAGTTTATATTATATGAATCGCTCAACTCATGTTTGTTTCTTTGTTGAAATCTTAAAACTTGCACAGTTATGCTTCTCAATATGACGCTGAAACAATATATTAGTCAATATACCTATTTAAAAAATATTATTATTTATTGATTTCTTATATTTTCACATGCACTATCCATAAATAAAACAACTTATAAACATTTTCATCGTGTTTGTATTTAGTTTTATTAACGTTTCGAACTCTTTAATTATGTGAACATGGAACCTATAAAGGGTTTGAAAAGTCAATAAAACTGAATACAAATTTGATGAAACCGTTTAAATGTTGTTTAATTGATTATTATTTATAACAAATTTTCTTTGCATTACTTACTGTGCTAGATATTTAGAAACTCCTAGCGCTGCTGTTGGGAAAACAATAGCCCATATTGGCAACATCCTGCCTCTACTTGGTGTACCCCATTCCAATAAGCGAAGAAATCCTTCTCGAAAAACATCTAGAAGTGCTGGTTTATCACTAGCAATATCACTTTGTACAGTTTCCACCAAACTTGCAGAATAAAATGGTGTGATGATTGCTGTGCTTATACTGTTACAAGGAAAAATTTAATTAAACCAAGATTGCTATAAAATTGAGTATTATAACATCCCAAGAGAGACTAATGAAGGTATTGGAAAGTTCATTTTGTATAAAACAATGCATGTTATTCTAGAGGAATTATAAATAAAACAGAGATTGCTTAAAATTGAGTCACAGATATAGATATGTTTTCAAATATAATTCAAATGTTAATATACTTAATAGTTATTGCTGAAAATGGTTAGTTTCTTTAAGCAGTCATGATATCCAAATTTTATTGGACCTTGTTATATTGAAATTTCTTACCATTTCAATGTTATGTGTTGAAGAAATTGCAACACAGAAGAACATTTCTCTATTTCTCTGGAAAAAATAAAACAGGAGTTTATCTATGGAATAATATTTATAAAGGATTTCTTTAAATTTTTACACAAATAATTTAAACAAATATATAAATAGTGTATCTCTCACGTACTTTGGCCATCCTGTGCCCTTTGCCACTACATCTTCAACAGCTAAGTTCAAACCTTTTACAATACAAGTGGAACCAATTCCTTTCCACAATGTTGTAACATCTTGGCTTCTGTGCAGTCTTGCTACAACAGGTAGCAGAGTATAGGGAACTATATGGTAATTCTTGAGGCTATTATGGACCTATTAATATAAAATAATAATAAAATTGTCTACAGTTTCATAACAGCACCAACCAACTAGTGTAACCATTAAAACATGCTGATTAGAATTAGCAAATAATTCACTTTACTTATCATTTACCTGACACTGTCGTCGTAGGACAATAAATGGATGGCTTAATAAATTCTCAGTAATCAAACTGGCTGCACTTATTGCAGTGGTAACATAAGCATTATTTCCTGTGAAACAAACCACAACAAATCATTGTTAGAATTCAAAAACTTAAGACCAAACATAACTGTAATATAATTTTTTAATACCATACCATCTTCTGGTGTTTCATCCATCACAAGAGGCGGCCCCTGGTATTCTTCAGTTAATGGCGTGTGATAACCATATATTTGTTGATATCGGGTATCGTACAAATCATTAGTTTCTTTATTAGGGTCCAGGCCATACGGCCTATTGTAAGAATTATAATCTCCAAATCCAGCCATTTCTATAACTGTAAACAGTACCTATTAACTATATTATTTTAACTATAGCACGTCGGGTAGTTATTATAATTTATATTCACATTATTTTTATGACACTATGGGATACAAGAAATACATAATTTCATTAATTATGTAGTTAAATTGAATTGACTATAAAATAAAAAGATAGATACAAAATGTCAAAAGTCAAAACCACAGACTTAGTAGGTATCAGACGACCAACTTCCTAACAAAAAATTTCTTCGTAGAGCGTGATTGGGAGCCAGTGATACATGACAGCATCATTCGTTTTAAATATACAGACCTACTATCGGCAAAGGCATTTAGCTATACAGCCCTGTTTTGGGTAGGTACCTAGCCGTCTTCCTAGTTTCCACATTATTTTTACTTTAATTTAAATTCCTTTTTTGTTTTAATACAACAATAACAATAAAGGAGACTGATAAGTCTAGCTTATTATTATTGTTGTATTAAAACAAAAAAGGAAAAACGAACACGTAAATGAAACACACATTTTTCCAATATTATTTATTGAATAATTTATTTTTTAACTTATTATATTTTACACAGCTCTTCTGCATTCTCGGCAATTCTTAGCTACATTTTTTTAGTGGCACAACCTTATGAAACTTTTCAAGGTAATCACATTTTTTTTAAAGAGGGCACTGATATTTTTTTATAAACTTATTTAAGTTTTTCTAAAATTTCAATTGCCTTTGGCCAGAAAGAATGATGCTCTTTTCCTTTATGCTTTTTTTTGTTTATCGATGCTCCATGGACACTATCAAATAATTGGTCAAAGAATGAAACAACTTCAGCTGTATTTCTTAATGTTGTGCTGACGGGCCTACCATCCACATAAGTTGCTGCAAATTAAAATATTCATACAATAATTGTATGAAACTTGATTCAAAACTATTAACTGTTAGTAAATTTCATCTAATACTCACAGAAATTTGCAGTGTAAGACAAAGCTGCAGACATATTTTTACACAATTTTTTACCTGCAAAAAGAGATATCATATTTAAAATTATCTTCATTAGAGAATCATTATTGTAATTTAAGTGTAAACTATATTAACTACTTGTTACATAATTAAAAATACAGGTCATTGAACCAACACTTGCTCTGATAGAGAATATAGAAACTGAATACAAATTATTTCTTTTATTTATACTAATTTAAGTTATACTAATATAATAACCAATGCATTACCTTCATCATTTTAATTTTATCAGGTATAACTCATTGGTCATTTAATTTATGACGTAGCCCAGCTTCAGTGTGTTGACAGTCTGTCTCATAGACATAAATAATATCATGCCATTTTGTAAGTTTAATATCCAATATTAAATTTTTTGTTAAAAAATTGTTCCTGATGCATTTTATCAAGTGTGCAGAATCATAATGTTCAAATCCACCCCACATATTTTAAGAATGCCAACTGAAACAAAAATTTAAGAACTTCTTAAAACATAGATAACTATATAAAAATAGGAACCTTCACTACTTTCATTAAATCTATTAGTTTTCTTTCATATAAATATAATTCTCTGTACCAACCTGTGATTTCAATTTAAAATTTGATCACACTAAGTGTCTTCTTTTAGATTTTTGAGTGCTGATTGGAAAGCTGAGCCTTGGTCATATATTATTGCGATGGGATTAAGGTCCAATTCAACAACTTTTTCTACTACTAACTTTTATTATACGAAAGTGCTGTTTCTAATGACATCTCATCAAATATAATGGAGCATATTTTTTGGAGTTTCATTTGTCCACCTGAAAAAATAAATTCAAATAGGTAGGTACATATTATTATTTGGTAGTTATACAAAAAATTATAAAAGTAGTATGAAAAACCTTATATGGAATATATTTACCTCTTACATGAAGCCTGGTTCTATGATCGATTTTCTAATCATAGTATTCAGTGTAGTTTTAGATAATAAAATAAAAAATTTTGTTTAAAAATCAATAACACTTTGGACTATGCTTTGATATTGATAAAGCAATTATCTTTTCTTCGGTAGTGAATCACCTCTCATGTTTATTTTTAGAGCACATGCTCACTTGCATTTCAAAAACGTTTTTTGCAACTGTGTTCATTTTCTGTTGGAACTTTTCAAATGATAACTTTTTACAAAACTTAACGGTATTTAAGTATTCTTAACTTTATTATGAAAGTTCAACTACGTCTTTGGCTTGTTATATTCTTCATAAATTCTCTGGTATAAAGGTGACAATTGGCTTTATTTGGTAATAAGCCTTTTCCTTTTTGTTTGGGTACATTTCACAGGGTCTGTAACATCAAAAGTATTCAGTGAATTTCTCTATTAGAACTACTATTTGATTAAAATAAAGATACACTAAAGAAAGAGACAGGTCCTACCAGATAATTTAGTTTGTTTCATATTTTAATCTCCAGAGCAAGCTACTAATTGAGTAAACTCAGTGGCTGCAGACACGGGAGTCTCAATTTGTTCTTTTAAAATTACACCACCTACGAAATCAATATTATGTGTGTAAGATTAAAAAACAGGATATAATCTTAGATGATATTAGAAATATGTTATTTATATTATCAATTTATTCTCTGATCAAAATCACTTCTAGCTTGCCCGCTAGAATTAAGTAACTTAATGTCATTTTTCTTTATGTGTGTAAGAAAGAGAGATCTACTAGACTTTTTTAAAGCAAAAATCTATATTAAAATACACCAAAACTGCAGCATGAACTTTGTTATCTAAATAAAATAAATTAAAAACAAACCTCTGTTCAGTTCCACTTTCTAATATGTGTGGTCAACACGACTTTTTCTTGCATAGCTGTGTTCCCAAGTGAATATAATTTCTGTAATAACAAAAAATTGTAATGAAGAATAGCGGTATTCCAAAACACAACATAAAGTGAAGATACATATCATTTTAACTAAATTATCTAAAGGTAATAGCAGATTAAACCAGCCTTACCAGTATTGCTTGAAGAGGGTAGGCTGATTGAGATCATCATTAAACAATGACGGATATGCGTCACCCAAGAGTCGTGATTTTGGAGTAATGAATCTTGGTACAACGTGTTTGCTACAAATGACACTTCTGCCTGTATTCAAATTTTCAGTATCACACACAGCACTAAGACATTGTAACCACTTGGAGAATCTTTTCTCGTTCACTAGAATCTTACAAAGAATAGCGTCCTGTTCGTACTTTAACAATGCGTGTAACACAACCATAACACAACACACCAATTTCCTAGGCATCTTCTACAAAGAAAAATACTTCGAAAAAAGGAGAGTTTATATTACAAATAAAGCGAAGAGGGTAAGCACAAACGAAACTTTACTCAATCACTCGTAATTCCCTGATATGTAGGTACATACTTTAGTCTTCTTCTTCTTTTATTAATGGCATATCTGCGCATTTTACATAATTTTGCCAATGTGAAGTGAATGAATCTATAATATATTAATTCCAACATGTAAAATGAAAATGAAATGAATTAAAGATTAATGAGGAAGTATTTAAAAAAAATAAAGAAACTACAAAAAATTATGTTACTAGATGGCAGCACAAATTGTTGGATCTAAACGTCAATTCATGACGTTAAACCAAAGAGAATAGATTTGTTAGTGTTGTTATGGATCTGATAACTTGGATTAATATCGAGTTGAAATTTAACTAGTTCGAGTTATACAATCGCAACTCGATTAATGCAAAGTAATCTTTGAATAAATTTATTTTTTATTTGTATAGAGGAAAATGGAAACTAACATAATGGAAGTGAGCACAGAGGCTTTTTTAAATTTATGGAAATCAATTGAATGCTGTGATATAATTAAAAGTGGCATCTAACTACGGTATACAATAATATTACGTTTTATAAATAAAATAGGTACTTATGTCATAGTAGGTCTAGGAATTTCCATTTTAATATTTAACAAAAGTTCTGAAAAAATAACAACTAGGTAAGTTAGTTTTATTGCTATTAGTTGTTTGTTGAACTTTCAACAACAAAACTACATCAATTCTCAATATTTTTTTTATATTATGTATGGTGAATTAATGAATAGGGTTTATTAATCAGCAACAAAAGTCATAAAAACAATAATTTTTAAGAAAAATCCGTTTATTATCTATAAACTTACCCGATATGTATCAAATATACTATATATTCGTACATAATAACATACCTGCTGGCTAAAATGACGTTTGTGCAAAGTGTAACGTGCAAATAACTTGTGCTTTCGAAATTAAGACTTTATAAAACTATTATCAGTTATTAAATCTTATATTCATAATTAAATCATCTTAATAAACATTCAGCAATTAACAAGAAACGCAGTGGCGTAGCTACTAAGGGGCTAGATGGGGCAGTGCCCCGGGGCCCTCAAACTCAGGGGGCCCTCGAATCTTTACCAGAAAATCTCGATCGAACTCAACTTTTGAAAATTTCTCCCACCTTCAAAATAAAAATGACAGGTGATAACTCGAGTTTAATCATGGAAACTCAGTTGTGAGTAATTCCAAAGTTATAATTAGGTACCCTCCTTTGCGTCGCGCAGTCGGGTAAAAAGGGAATTCCCGTAAATTATTTGTGTGGGTTGACAGTGTTATTAATGTTTTCATCAATTTTTTGGATATCTGCATATTATTATTTATCGATATGCGTTTTTGTGATTCGCGATTGTGAACTTCGAGTCAAGATTTTTTTCGAGAATGGTTAAAAAGTTATTGTATCAGGAGTAAGTAAGCGTATGTCAATAAATTTTTTGTACTGGTCCATACAAAAGTTCAATTTTATTTGATTGTAGTCCGTCAAACCGTCAAAAGTGGTAACACTGGCGGCGATAAAGTGTTTGCCGGGGATTCTCCAACGACGCCTTGTATCGTATCATTTTCATTCATTCACGTTTCGCTTTCCTTTTACTTGTAACATTGTCAGTGAACAGTGAGTACCTACTTGAGTACAATCTTACATAAATATTGCATAAATAAATTAGAAAACTAATATTATGGACAAAAAAAAAAGAAACCCAGTGGTGCATTTAAACGCAAACAACGCCAAGAAAGAGGAGAAAGTAAACAAAAATTGCCCAAAATTGACAAGTATTTTAGTCAGCCTTCTGCAAGTACTTCTGGATCAAATATTTCTATTGATAATTTTTGTAAATAGCTTGCATGGCGATAGGTTAAATAACAGTAAGCTGGTGCAACGTATCTATG